TGATACATGATGAAATGAACAAAAACTTTGAAGGGAAGAAAGCGGCACTGCCGTACCCAATCCCGATTCCAGAGTGTTATGATGTGAAATCCAGCTATATTATTAATCTTTGTTCAGAAGGATTTTAATCTAATAAGTTGTGTTAGGTCTCAACATAAATGAAGATATGGATAAATGTGTACATGTATAGGAGTGTATAGGATTGATAGCCATAATGCTTATTTTTTGTTGGATAGTTGAACAGAACTGTTAGCAGTCTCCCTGGTTGCTGGTTGAAATCCCATTTATATGTTCCACTTATGCACCTTGAACAACTATTTATAGGGGGACAATATGTATACATCAGCTACTGATTTATTACTATTTCTTTTCTTTGAAAGTATGTACTATTTCTGCCCGTTTTTATTTTGTTTGTCTTTCTTAAAAAAAAAAAAAAAAAAAACTCTATGGTCTCCCACCCTTTTTCTTGATTACTTGAAACTCTGTGTGTGTGTGTGTGTGTGTGTGTGTGTGTGTGTGTGTGCTTCCTGTTGTGCCCTCAGTTAACTTGTCAGGGTTTGCATTTCTTATATTTCCCTCTTGAGATGCCCCAGGTCTGGCCCAGCTGTGCCCAGAGCTGGCCCAGAGTCACAGTGCTCCCTGCACAGCCGGCCCCTGGAGAGCAGGCAGCACCAATGGGGACCTGCTTTTCGCCTCCCCTCTGATGTCTAAGACCACAGCTGGCCTGCAGGCGTTATCTGTGTACTTTTCTTAAAGCTGTAAGCTGCTGGAAGACATTAGTTGTACCGCAGTTTGGTGAAAAGCTATCTGGATATCCAAGGCTGAGTTAAAGGTACCAAGGATTTGTTAAATATACTAAGGAGCCGCCCCTCTCACTAATTGTAAGGAGTGGGGAGCAGAACATTGGAATCAAGTATTTAGCAAAACGCCAGGAGGCTCATCAACAGGAGCAGCCAGCCAATGTGACACAATGGGGCGTCGCTCCAACCTGCTAGCTGCAGATGATAAGTTTAACCTTAAAGATGGCTCCGCATTCCAAAGCTGGGAAGAAGCTAATGTCTTCCAAAAGAGGGAAAGGGGCGCTGGCTGGACAGAGGAGGTGTTGTCTGAGAAAGTCGTCTCTTTTGCAAGCATGCACAGGCAGTCTAATTTTCATGGAGTCTGAACTCCCCATTCCTCGGTTTCCACCCTGCACCTCCACCCCTGCTCACCCTCAGCCCTGCACATGACGAACTGTCTTTACAGTTTACTTCTCAGCTACTTGCCTTCCCTGCCTCTGTACCCACAACCAAGCGAAGCCTGGTGCTGACGCTTTTGACATGACACCTCCCATCCTTAGCGTCACACGCATCAGGGTGGATGCCCTAATATGTGGGAACTGTTGCATTTAACACCCGAGGGAGTGGGAGAGGGTTTACACACTCAAGTTAGCATTTCTTTAAGAGGAAAGGCACTTTCTTCTCCGATTTTTGCTTTTCTTATTCAAGAGGAAGCAAACAGAGTCCTGTCCATCGTGGGATATGAAAAGTTTGCAGGAATTTAGCAGATGCCAACAATCTGCATCTTCCTAAAAGGTCAGCGTGGAAACATTTTGTTGTTGGCTCTTTGTTTTTTGAAAGGACTAGAGGAAGCCAGTTCAGGTGGCTAAGGATCAGTAGAGCTCTGTACGTGTACCAGGCAGTTCTTGAAAGTGCTAACACAGGATTCTCTCTTACCACAATTTCCTCTGTGCCAGACCTTGTAATGGAGACACAGAGCAGCACGAGTCTTCAGAAGAATCTTCAAGGACTGCAAAGCCTGTGGACCAGCACTGCTTTCCCTGGCCTTGCTAGTGAAGTGGTCATGCTACTGTTTGGACCTTTAATGTCCCCCGCAGGCCAATATATGGAAGGCTTGGCCCCAGCCTGCGAGGCCATTGAGAAGTGGCAGGACCTTTGGGAGATGAGGCCAATGGAAGTTGGGTCATCGGGAGTGTGTCCTGAAGCGGGTACAGGGACCTAACCCCTTCTGTCCCTCTCTGCTTCCCACTACAGTGAGACGAGCAGCTTGACTCTACTGCATGCCTCCTGGCAAAATGCACTGTGACACCCCACACCCAAAGGTGAAAGATTCAACCATGGACTGAAACCTCTGAAACTGAGTCAGAATAAGCCCTTCCTCGCTGAGGTTGGTTTATCTCAGGTATTGTGTCACCGGGACAGAACCCTGACTAGCATATGAATGCAGAGCAGGAACAACTCTGTTTTAGTTTACACTGATTCCCTTGTCTTAAAGAGCTAGTGGCCCCTCCTTTGCAAGGCAGAGATGTGTTACTGTTCTCATTTTATTATCAGGAAACTGATGGGGAGATGACAGCACAGTGAAGTGACCACAGGTGGGTACAGGCCAGTGTCGGATCTGACACCTAGTGGTGCTGAGAGCAGATGAAGCTCCCCTGGCAGCTGCAGGGCTCTCAGTGCTGGAGTCCCGGGAACAGGAATCCTGCAGGCAGGAAGCACTACAGCTCCATGTGCATGGCGTGGAGGCACGACCCTCGCACAGACTGGGGAGGGTGTTTTGCTGTACACATGAGAAACAGCATCTCAGAAGGCCCGCCTGGCTGGGAGCCGAGGTGAGCCCAGCTGACTCCGGGGTACACATGCTGCCCGCTATTCCAGGCAGCTTGGCCTGTCTAAGTCCGCCAAGGCACACATTCACAGCCGTCTTCCTGACACGTGTCATCCTGCAGTTCCACCTGACACCCAGTTAGGTGCAGCTGCTGCCTGGGAGCCTAGAAGTGACATCCATGACCGTCTCCAAGTTTGGGGTAAGAGTGGGAAGAGGAAAAGTTAATTTAGATATGAAATCTAACTCTGGGTGCCTCAGATAACCCTTTTGATCTATTTCTTGAACCCTCTAGAGAAAGTGCTATGTGCAAGGCAGCGCTCATCTGCTTTGCTGTGCAGAAGTGAGCACTTCATTCCCACTCAGCCCTGGAAAGGCTGTCTTTGGTTTAAATGAGTTGACCTGTCACTTTTCAAGTGATTTTTAAAGTGATTTATTCCAGTCAAGGACAGAGAACATATTACTTTTCAAAACATGTCACAGCGGTGTGGCCCTAAAATGGCCCTAGTGAGGCCTGTGTGTCATCTGACCGTGTCAGGCTGGAGCTCATTCCCGTCACATCCACGTGTGGGCTTTGTTTTACCTGAGATGCTGCCTCGGCTATTTTTTCTGTTTTATTTATTCAGTGTTGAAGTAAAAGAAGAAATAATCAAATTCGCCATTTGCCACTGCAAATATATTAGAAACATTCAGAATGTAAGTCATGTCTCCCTGGCTAGAGAACCAAATTTAAACATGGAATTAAAATCAAAGAGATTTCAAATGTTTTGTATTATTTATTTTTGGTGCCAAGGGCTGAACCCAGGGCCTCATGCATGCTGGCGAGTGCTCTCCTGCTGAGTAACACTCACAACTCTCAAATAGATTTCCTAAGCCTGGCCAGCAGTTAAGTGTACCACCTGCTTTGTTTTAACTTTAGTAGGTGTGTTGGCCTAAGCAACACTCTTATCACTGCTCTGGAGATGACGCATTCACATACATCTTCCCTTTGCCCCATTCGCTTACATGTAATTCCTTTTTTTTTTTTTTTTTGTCTTTTTTTCCTTTTTATCGGTACCAGGGATCAAACTCACGACTGCCTGCTTGCAAGGCAGGCGCTTATGTCGCTGAGCTAACTCCCCAGCCCGTTACATGTAATTCTTAATTTCAAGCATTTTGTTACAGCTTCACGAGTTCTATGTTAGATGTTGTAGAGATGTCATGGAAACAGATAAATTTGTCCCTTACTAAAGTGGGAGGATGACACAGTAGACCCCTCAAAGCACAGTGCAGAACAAGGGTTCAAGAAGGTCAATCCCTTCTCTGCCCACCTTTCCTCATTAGAAGAAAAAGCTCCTTCCTGTGGGGTCTAGGTGTTCAAATAAACCCCTTGCCTAGTGGTACGGCTGAGCAAAAGTCTAATGCTTCAAATCCAAGTCCAGGCGTCAGAAACTCCACGGAAACTTATTCTCTTCCAGGCCTCCATTTTACAGCCTATAAAATGAGACTAAACCTGTCTGCTGAGCCATGATCTAAAGATCCTTTTATGATCCCAGAATAAAAAGGACGATAGAAACGCAAAGCTTTATTACTAATGCTCGGCAGGGACTAATTCCTGCACGTACCCTTGGCGTCTGAACAGCTTGGCAAGGCTCTTCTGCCCTCTTCCAAGAGTAAGCTCATCTCTGTGAACACAGGAATCAATCTGCTGCCCAGTTCAAAGGATCCTTGTCACTCTGCTCCTAAACATTTCTACCTATTCCCCGAGGCCAAGGGAAGGCTTTGTGCTCTTCTGTGACCTCTCCCTTGGCACATCTGCTGGAAAGCCTACAATGCTCCTCTGGAAGCACATGCAGGCATATCCTGACAGCTGGGTCCAAAAGAAATAAGCCGACCTGGGATAAAGGAAGTGTTGCTGGAAAGCTGGGCTATTTTTTGACTTCTAGAAAATACACCCTCTAGAAACCGGATATAAATATCTTCAGAAATAATTTCCCTTCAAAGCCTGGGTAAAACATGCCAACCAGATTGTTACAAATTAAAGGTTTACTTTGTCGGGTAAAAGAAAACCATGGTTACTTCTGAAAGCACCCGTCTTCACAGGTGAACCTGTGGGGTGACAGTGCCACCTAGTGGTGGACAGGTACTGTGGCACATCACACAGCGCCAGGAAATTGCTGTAAATAACTAGAGCTATTAATATGTAAAGAAATGAAGCTCGGAGAACAACCCTTCCCACGGAGAGCCTGATTCTTCTTAAGATGGCCCCATATGTGTAAGACAAAAATGACTTAGGTTTGGCATTTGCTGTGCCCTGGACAAAGACTTTTTCTACCCATTTAATTCTTTGGTACTAGGTGTACCAAAGGATGTGAATCTTAAAAAGTAAACAAAAGCACTTGGCTGTACCAAATAAATAAATAAAATAAAAATATGAACTTTTTATTACAATTTTTTTAAAGGAAGGAACATTTTGGGCTGCATCACTTCACATGAAAGAGCCTTATGCAGGAGATTTAGAAGGTCCCTGAAAATCATATTTTCAAAGGATCTGCTTTCACGTAGGCTTTTTCATGGCTGATTGCGTCATGCTGAAGAAATAGGCTTCATAGATGATATTTAAGAAGTTGTCGTCATTCTGGAAAACAAGATCAAATGGCCCAAAGGAATGAAATTTAGGTGGCAGAATCCTGGCTTAGAGATGAACTGGCATCTGATTTCTAAAAATATTATTTAGGGTATAGGCTCAGAATGGACCCAGGGCCTTATGCATACTAGCCCAACACTCTGCCCCTGAGCCACACCCACCCCACCCAGGCCTCAACATCGGGGACCGAGGCGCTCACCTCTGCTTGTGTTCTTCAGCAGCGGTGGCTGTGACTGTGTGCATGGATGTTAGATGGGGCTGCAGGTGTGTCCGGCACAGAGCTGCTGGTTTTCAGCGGTTGACGTGTAACGTGCCAAGTGTTCACGACAGCACAGAAAGACAACCCAGCCATGTGGCTGCGTGCAACAAGGTTTACTGATATAAAGCCTGGCTCTGCTGCATGAAAAGACACTGACCCCCAGCAGACTGATGGGCAGGAGGATGCAACTGAGATCAAAGGGTCCCCAAGTTAGATTGAAAGATTGCTGGTTGCCCTTGAAGGTCCATCAAATTGTCCACATATGTATATTTTGTTTTGGACAGTAACTAGGCTTTTCATCTGCAATATGCTTAACTGGTGCCTTATCCAAGCCACTACCATTCTTCCCATAAGTTGTGGAAAGTTTCTGGCCTTGCCAAGTGGGCAACAGCTGGGCTGGTAGTCACTGAGCTCTTTTGCCAGACTAAGCCTGAGAGATACAGTAATCATGGGCCTAATCAGTGGTTTTCTGGATTTTTAATGCTAGAGATTTCTCCCTCTCACTTAAATCCTTTAAAGCATTAGCGGCTCACCCACACATCACATCTCTGCACTATACACAGTTATCATTATTCACATGCAGTGAAAAGAGTGATGTTACCCGTTTTCCCTACAAGGTAGCCACGAAGTCTCTATGCAAGAGATTCTGTCCTAAAAGAAGACTCAAAACAGATTGCCTAAATGATTTCTACATACAGTGGGAAAAGAATGTCTAGAATACGGGAAGAAGTAAAATGTTTGCAGAGTGGAGGGGACAGGAATAGAAGTAGCCATGTAAAGAGTCTTTGGGACATGTGACCTGAACGAAATGAACTAGGAAAATGTACAGATCTTTGAAACTCAAATTTAATCTTATTTTTTGTTTTACTGTTCACAGTAAAGTCTGCAGATGGTCTTTCTAATTTTTAATGAACTTACCATGAATGGTTTTAAAGAATAGAAAATATAGAACAATATTGTTAATTACTGGTATTTATTTATAAATTAGTAAAGTTCAATCATTTGTTGTTGATCTTTATATCAGATTATTATGCCTTGAGATGCAGATGCTCATTTTCAGCTACATTCATTCTTTTGTTTTTTGGAAACAAGGTCTCACTACATAGTGCAGGCTGGCCTCATTCAAACTCTTGGTAATCCTCCTGCCTCAGCCTCCCAAGTGCTGGGATTACATGCATACACCATCAGGCGTAGCCCTTTCATTCTTCAAGTACATCTTTTATAAAAATGTTTTTACTAAGACTATTATCTTTTCAGGAGGATAAAACAACTTCAAAAGGTCCATGCTGCATCCCAAAGTCATCTGATGCTTAGGCAAAGCACTACAAAGATTTTACTAGAGACTGTGTAACAAAAAGAAACACACAGATGCTAGGTGAGGTGTCTGAGGTCCATCTGGTGAAAAGTTCTCCCTTTTGAAGGCCCATCATGTATGTCTTGGCAGTGCTCTGCAAGATGCAGCGGAGGCCCTGCAGCACACTCAGGGCCACAGCGCAGTGCAGCGGCAGGGACACTCCACAGCCAGAGGCGGTAGGGTCCCAGCTCTAGTAGCTTACAGATTCTGTGACTCAGGGCAATCACTTAGCCGCAGTTTCCTTGTTTGTAAACTAGAAGAATCAATAGTGTTTTATGCACTGAGTTAGTATATATAAAGTGCTTAAAATAGAGGCTGGCTGCCAGACACTGTGGGACACACCTGTGATCCCAGCACTCTGGGAGATTGAGACAGGAAGATGACAAGTTTAAGCCCATCCTGGGCAATTTTTATTTATTTATTTAGCAGTAAGGCTGCCTGAAAAACATTTTTAACAGGACTGGACCATAGCTCAGTGCAAAGGTCCTGGGTTCCATCCCCAACACTGCCACAAATTAAATAAAAGAAAAGCAGTGCTTGGCACACAGCTGTGTGTCAGCTCTTGTCGTTATTATTATTATTGTTGTTTTATAGACCAGCTGCTGCCAAGGCTGCGGCCTTCCTTGTCCTAATTGTGGGTTTCGAAACCATGCAGACTGCCTGCAGCGGTCACCACCAGGTTGTGCTTCCCTCCCCGCCCCACAGGCTGCCCCCGTGGACCTTGGGTCTCTTTCCTGGCAGCAAGCACTCTACATGGGCACCCCAGCACCCAGGTGCCCGCAGTGCTCTTGCTCACCACGCGGAGTTCCTTCCTGTCAGACGGCGGACAGTTTGCACGCCTTGGCCAGTCCTCCACTTTACGAAACCCCCCGAAGGGCCTCGAAGCCCAAAGCTTCGCTCTGTGAGGTCAGGAGTGCTGGGGTGAAGGGTGAATGGCCACACACGCCCTCTTCTTGGCGCAGCACACTCAGCAAGCAGCAGCTACCTGGGCATCTCACAACCATAGCAGCCACTAACAAGTCTGGGAAGGGGGAAGACGCAGCGCTGCCCTCACCTGGATGAGGTACAGCAGTGCTTCCTGGAGTTGCGGCCTGGTGAGTGGGCTGCTGGCGACCGCACAGGGCTCTGGGCTCTGCAGGGGCAGAAGCCTGCCATCTCTCTCCCTTCGTGGGGCACAGGTGGCTTGTGTGAATACCATGGGGGACACAAGAACAGAAGGAGCCGCTGCAGCTGGGCTGTGCTGCGGTGAGATGACCTGCTCATGGAAAAGACACACAGAGAGCAGGATTGAGGAGCCGCACGCAGGGATGAAGAGGCTCCCCTACGGCTGGGGATGGGAACTGGGCGCTAACTGCACAGGTCTCCTGGGTGGGAAAGCTTCTGGGCGGCTGGTTCCCCTTAGTCCTCCCGGTGTTTTCCCTTGGCCACAGGCTGCTTGGGAGCCAGCTCCCCTACTCCCCTACTGATTGGCCTCTGGGTACTGGTTTCTTTTTTGGGTTTCTCCTCATTATTTAGCAGCATGTACCTGGGCCTTAAGGCTGTCCTCCCTGAGCTGGAGGCCCAGTCGCACACAGAGTGGCAGTGTGTCCTTGTTAGGGGCGCATGTTTCCAGGCTGGCTGTCTGTGAAGGGGGCAGCAGCTCTCCTGCCCTCTGCGGCCGCACTTGCTTGTGACCAGGAAGGAACTGACCTCCCGGGAGCACCCTCTGTGCTTCTCCTGCTTGGACCTGCTGTTTTCTGCTCCTCCAAGCTGCCACACTGGGAGCAGGTACTGCTAGGCCGCTTGCTGTGGTCCGGCCACCAACCTGTTTGGGGGAATCTGTCTACTTTGCCCAGCTGACAGGCCTCAAACCAAGTTCTTGATGGATGTTTGGTTATGCAAGTGACATTCTCATCCGCGTGTGACTGACTCCTACAGCTACTGTGTTTCCAGATCAGGTGAGGGAAAGGAAGGTATTTTCCAGACTCAGAGATCCCCACAGAGCTCAGCTTCGCAGGCAGAGAAGCCAGCTGTCTAGAAGTCCCTGGAATTTGGCGATCCCTCCCTGTGTGTTTTGTGGGGCAGAACCTGGTCTAGAGGAAGAGGGTTGTTTGTTGCTTTTAGCTTGTCCCCAATGTCTTCAGGAGAGGTGCTGAGAACTGACACTCCGCAGAGCACAAGCCACAGCACCAGCAAGAGCGTGGTGTGGGCTGGTGAAATGTACACTTTCCTTACTTGGCTTTGACATTTGTGACTACCGAAAAGAGAATTATATATGCAGAAATTTAACGCTATTAATCCCAATTTTCTGATCCTAAGTCATCAAAGTGAGAAAAAGAACATCTTTAAAGGGGAGGCAATATTATATTCAAATGAAGGCAAGACTGCACTTCAGACTCATAAAATGAGGCGCTGTTTCTGTAGAAGACTAAAGAAAAGAGAATACCTTGATTCAGGATTGCCCATACACGGAGACTGACAGCACATGCCCAAAATCTTTGTTTTTAAAAAAGTAAAACAATTTCTGAGGAGCTGGTACAAGCCATGTGACAAAATTTTTCAAAAAGACCAATGGTAATATTCACAATAAGTAGAGAAAACTGTCCAATTTTTAAACCAAGTATATTTTTAGTACATTTGCTCCAATCCAAGGGAAAATGAGGCTAGGCCAGCTCTCCAGCTATTCCCACGGGCGGGTGACCGGCCGCATGGGGCCTTCTCATTGTGTCGCTACTGATGGACAGGGAGCCTCATCTCCTGGAAGGATCACTTACAAGGTATGACTGAAAACCATGGTGAACACTGAGCTTTTAGAAAAATGTATGGCAGTACTCGGTGTGTAATTAATTACAGTAATTAATGCTACCATTAATCTCCTCAGAGTGCTCTCTCTAGTTCTGGGCGTACTTATCCGTAATTTTGCCGATTTCTGATGTGCATCGTTAGTGGTGTAGTCCTGGCTACCTCAACATCCTCCATCAATCCAACATCTTTACCTTTGTCACCGTCACTTTCACTCTGGGGAAGACCCGGAAGCTGCAGCGCCAGGCCTCTTGAATAAGCCAGATGAGGACACACAGAGATGTTTTAGAAGCCTGACTCTACTGGATGGCACTCAAGAGCAGCATTCGCCGTAGATCTGATCACATCTTATAAAAGCAGTCGTGAAAGAGGACTTACAAAGTGGCTTTAGAGAGTGGCAGGGATGATGGGATAAGTGAATTTAAAGTGAGCGGTATCGTGAGAGGGATTAGTAGCAATGTCTTTTCTGTCATGAATTTTAAAAATTAAAACATTCACCATATATTTCGACCATACTGCATACAGATTTTTACTGCTCTGGCAGCGTTTTTTTTTTTGAAGAATGGAGATGGGTGACATACTTACCTTGCCCTGCCCTGTGTTAAGTTATGTTAATGACCCAAAAGGAGGTATTTCTGTTTACTTCCTAAAGCTACAGGACGCACTCTGAGAAGGCAGAGTCTATTTGTTCCATCACTGCGTAGCACAATGCCTAATATGTAAGAAGGACTCAAAAGCATTTACTAAATCAGTGAACCATCAGTAACAAACTGCAGTGAGAAACAGGAAGCCAGATGTGTGATATGACAGAGGGATTTTAGAGCAGACATCATAAATTTCTATAGTTAAAGACCAGGGTTTCTGTTTCGGTCTATGCTGTTCTCATACCTTACAACAGAAGTAGATTTAACTCTACAAATAAAGTACTCTAAACGTGAGGGGGAATAATGCAACTCCTAAGAGACGTGGGATTCCCTGAGAGTGAAGAAAAGGGAAGGCTCTTCTTCCCAGGAGGATGGGAAAGTGACTGACAACAAGGTGCACAGAGGTGGCTGCGGGTACTCTGTTCTAATCGGAAACGTGTGTGATATGTGCCCCTGATACCAGAAGAGAAGACTGCGAGTTTCACATTATCAGCCCCCCCTTACCTGCAAAAGGGGAGCCTGCGTCTCCGTGCCGCACGTACTGCTGGTGCAGGACTCCCAGGGTCTCCCTGTCCTGCAGCTCCGGCTCACCGTGGGGAACTTGGCTGCCAGGGCTGGGCGGGGCGCTGCCTGCAGCTGCTCCTGCTGTACCACCTGCAGCCTTCTCAGCAGCTCCTGAGGGGAGACCACGCCAGGGCTGCCTGTCTGACTGCCAGCCAGAGGTAGCCTTTGTCCCGGCAGCATGTACTGTCCCTTACTGTGGGCCTGATGTCCTAGCATCTGAGGTGCAAGAGAGCTACTGAAATATACCAGCTGCGGCTGGACCAGACTCCGGACTGGAGCCACAGAGGTAGCAGCAGAGGGGGATCTGTGGGTACCAGGGGCGGCCAGGATGGGGGGCACTGGAGTGCTGACATCATGCTTGGTTGCCAGCTCTGGGGCACTCTGGAGCTGCTCCAAGTTCTGGGTCCTGGAAGCAGCTTGTCCAGCCCGCATAGTTCTGATGTTATGGAGAGACCCTTGCTGCATGAGTCCGGCGGCTACTTCCCCTGCAGGATGGACGCTGCCATTCTCACAGGGCCGCTGTTCAGGCAGCTCTGCCAGAGGGTGCAGGTCCACACTCCTGACCATGAGTTTCTGAATGGCTGGACAAAGCTGCTTCTCCACAGTGGCTGAGAGCCTTCTGGGCTCCTCATAGGAGAGGGAGCGCATGATGCCCTGCTGGGCTGGAAGCTTCTCTGGTGGATGCTGATGGAGGCTCTGAGGGGGCTCCACAGTTTGCTGCCTGGTAGCTTTGTTTTGCTTCCCAAACAGGGCTATCAGGGATAAGTGCTGAGTTTCAGGATCTAAAGTCTGAAAAAAAATAAAGATATCTGAAAATAGGTCCACATATAATTTTGTTATAGTGGGGCTATTAAGTATAACTTACCTGATGATTTATTCTATTTGCAAAAAACCAAGTAGAGGAGATAAAAAATATAAAATTGAAAAATCTGAGACGTCCCTTTTAAGGTCAAAGATTTCTACAGCATTCTCCCCTCCCACTCCCAAGATAGGTGTTAGTATCTTTTGACTAATAAACAGGCACATGAGCACTGGGAGACCTAGAGGCCACAGGCTGGGGACCACTGTGGTGAAAAATTATGTATACTGGAAGGTAAACAATCTGTACAAGCCCACCTAAGTCTGCAGAACGCAGACACTGAGAGTGCATAAGAGCACGATGAGGCCTTTCATCGGATGATAGGAACCTACGGCTGGAAAAGAAAGATACGTCATTTAATCTAACTTGATCTTTTCAACAATACACTAGTGGCCTTTAAAGCAATCACCAGATAACTGACAGTCCATCTCGGCCCAGCCAGTTACACAGCTCCTTTCTCTCTGCTTTGTGTTATTCTACCCCCTTCTGCTGCCTTCTCCACTGTTACACTAAGAAAGCATGAGCTCCATTCTAAAGGTGATATGTTCTGGTTTTTCTATTAAAATATAATAAAAACTCCATGAAAAGCAATAAGAGAAAAGCTAAAAGAATTAGAAAGGGCTTCTTTTTTGAAAAATTCAATACAAGACTTTCATTAGCTAGTCTTTACTCCTTTTGGCTCCATATGCATTCTCAGAATTGATTAAAACTAGTTCTTTGAAAAAAAACCCCTTAATTAGGAATAACCATATAAAATACACAGACACATTATATTTACAATCAATAATGGGGCCTGCACATTAGCAAGCTTTGTTATTGCTGTACCATTCTGAAATATATACATATAATACACATATACAGAAGCATAAAAGCTGCTGTAACATTTGTATTTTAGAGGGCAAATACAATGACAAGTCACTAGGTCTACAGGGAAGTTTTATACTGGTCTTTACCTGAGTTTTCTGAGAATAGGCATCCCATCCTACACACGCAAAGGGGTGCTCAAAAATATCACCTTAGGTTTTGAAACCCAGTTGGTTGCTTTTTTCAGTGGCCTTGGAAACTGCCTACCTTAGAAAAACATGGACCCAATAGACAACTGATCTGACCTTCTCATCAACTGTTTGTTGTTTTTAAAAATGCATTATCTTTTAAGGTATTTAATTCTACAAAATTTATCTAAAGGAAAAATTTTAACCCCCTTCTAAGAAGAGTAAATCACTAATAATGGAAATTCTTTAACTTGGAGTCTGTCTTAAGCACCCTACAGCAGCACGAGGCATCATCCTGACGCACCATGGGTGATGGTCCTTTAGAACTTGCTACATATGCTACATACCTGGCCAGGGGGTCTGTGCTGCTGCTGGCGGCCACTGGGCTTCACTGGGATTGGTTTGATGAGATTAGGGTTGTCATAGATGGCAGATGAACTGGTTATCTGTTTTGGCTCAGAGCAGGTTTTACACTGAAATGGAAAAAAAAAGAAACCTCATTTTGGATACAAAACAAGATGAGTTATTTTTATTTATCATTTAAAAAAATTTTTTTGGATGAGTGTTTTTTTTTTAAAGAATATATCTGGTTGCTTCTTAACCAACTGATAGATGGCTAATTTTTTGATAGATTTTCATGAACAAAGGACAGTTTCTTAAATATGAACTACATATGGGTATAAATCAAATTCAAATGATTACCAACAGCATCAGTCTAGAGAACCTAGAAGCTCTTAGATACATGGATAGTTGAAAGATAATATATTTGCTTAAGAAGTAATACTTTTAAGAACATGTGGTCTAATGCTTTTCAATGAAAAACAATTACAGAAACGATTCTTTAAATGAGGGATTGATTGGAGTTTTTCCCTCATTAGCAGGGGCGTTGCTGAATACATTTCATCAAAGTAACTAAACCTTTTGGGTCTCAAACCAAAAAAGTAAAGCTGATGCAAACCACTGATTTAGAAATTACTAACTTCATCTTTATTTAATAAAGGACATCTTGCATAAACAGAATAACTCAAATCTGAGTGTTCTAAGCCACTTACTACACATTAGAATTTCATAGAAAAAGAGACAAGAGACTAGCCTCATCACTTCAAACACTAATTATCGCCCATGAATCTAACTATGCAATTGCTAACACACTAAGAATTACAACAGAAAGAGTGCAGTAATGATGTTGGTATCTCTTTTTCTTAAAACAGCAAATAAAACAGTATAAAAATACTACCTGCTATACTATAGACTGTCTATAGCATTATTAGTTCAAACTGTACAATCAAGGTGTTGGGCCAGAAAATATTTCATACCATACTTGAAATAGGGTGAAGTATAAACACAACCTGTCCCTCAGGACCCCAGAGCTCCCAGGGTAACTTCCATTTATTGGGAGTGTATTTTCTATTGAAGGGTATCGGAGCATTGGCTCATACTCCTGGGAACACTTGAGTTTGTCCTTTTAACCATATACAAGACTAATTCTTTTCCTCTAACAACTTGGTCAATCACTTGAATATTTAACGTTTAGTGTTAAGTGGGGTGTAAAATCACTTTTTAAGTTGTAAGGTGTTATTTCTCAGTTTTCTTAGAAGAGCAGTACTGCTCCATAAACAGACTGGCCAAGCCTTCCTAAGGCACCAACAACCAAGGCCAGAAGCGTCAGGACTACAGCCTAAGACACCGCCACCTACAAACGTTAGTGTGAAATGTCTTCAACCTCCACTTGTTATTTAAAAGAAAGTGGATGGACATTTTTTACTGAATGATCCTTTTTTGCTTCTTTATTTTCTCTACTCAGAACAATGAACTTCAAGCAAAGAAAAAAAGATCTCCCCTGGCCTTCCCATGGTCCATGTCCACATGGGCCAAGGGCTGCTTTGCTTCTTGTTATGTGTCACCTCCCAGGCACATTTTTCTGCTTAGACTATTTCCAGAAGCTCTTTCTTGTTAGTAGAACTGTCTGCCTATCTGTAAGGCCCTGCTTTATAAAATTATTCCTTTTCTATTCAAATTGCTCATAAGTAAACATCATTCACCTGAATTCTTTGTAGTTTATTTTCCTGTTGTTTAATTTCTATGCTTCTTTTGACCCAGACAACTTTAAAATATTTGAAAAGGACAGGATTAAAAATAGCAGAGTAGAGACTGGCAGTAAAATATAGCCCCTCCAGGACCTGAAATCAACACCCCGAAAATAACAACCTGGTGGAGAGAAAAAAGTAGATCTCCAAGAACTGGGAGGGAGCTGACAGGAAAGCTAGAACTGACTGAAGCTGGAGAAACAGAATACGATGCAAAGGTAAGGATGCAGCGGCCTGGAAAGCCAGCGGTAGCTCCTAGGGCGGGAGGGAGATCTGTCCTGCTGACACAAGGCAAACTCAGAGAGGCTCAGTAACTCCAGAAAGAAACAAGAAACACGGCTGGCAAGGCCATCTTCAAGAAAAGCCTATGCTTAGTGTAAACTGCATAAACAGCATTGTGTTTTACTATGAAAGTTATTCTTCTGCTTGGAAGGGGAGCTGGAGAAGAAACCCACTGCAGTATCTGCCATACTGAGGAGGGATTGATCAGAAGCCATTTTGGGAAGGTGGTAATTATTTAAAACTGAATTACAGAACATATCAGGGTCGCTGGCGTTATCCTACCACAGTGATCAGGTGAGAGATGGCCATAAGAGACAGTTGGAGAGAGGACACAGGCTAGACATCCATCCTCCTATGAAGTTTAAGCTCAAGCCAAGAAGGACCGAGGCATAGCGAGGAGCCAACTGCTTGTATGTGCCATGCAGAGGTGGCTTGGTCTGAAAGTGCCAGCACCGAGTCCAGTGGTCTGCCGAGTCCTCGTCCTGCTGCCTGCACCGGCACAGGGCTCAGGGGTCTGTTCTGAGTCCTGAGGATTTTCCCACTTCCCAATGTGATCAGGGGCACGCCTGAGCTTGGGAGACTGCCACAGCCTGGGGCACACAGATGGGGTAGCGGGAGGGCGCCCCACAAGCCCACAGGTCAGGGAGCTATGAGAGAAACCTGTGACATGGACCATAAGAGGAACACAGGAACTGGGAGCTGCTGAGGGACTGCTCCCTAGGATGGAAATCACTGACCAGCCATGCCCAGCAAAAGCAGAAGGGCAGTATTCAGCCTCCACACAAAAGCATGACTCTGGAAACCAAACAGGTCTCACCAGTGGCTCACTATCCCTCCCCCGCGTCCAGTGGAGTCCAGTACTGCGGACTCTGGAGAGAAATCACGCGTTCAAAAACGTGGAGGGATTTCTTCTTTCATTCCTCCTCCCCTCCTTTTCTTCCTCGTTCTTTTCCTTCATTGGGTTTTTCTTTTGTTTCCTTTTCCTTTTCTTTTGCCTTTTTTCCTTTATTTTTCTCTCTGAATCTTCTGTTTCTAGTTTGGTTTTTTTTTTTTTTGTTACTTTTCTTTAATTCCATTGATTTTCTTATATCCTTTAATAAGATCCTTTATCTCACTTTTCTCTCTTCCTTTTCCTTTTCAAATTTCACTACTTTCCCTTTCCCAATCTCCACATCCTCCATATTTACTAGTAATACCATTAAGCTTTATAAATCTTTAGATATTTAGTTAATCTTGAATTCTTTTCTACTGTTAATGGTGGTGTAGTCATTGCATTTAGCAGATATCACTGGCTGTCAGTATTTGGTTTATCTCTGTGTCTGTATGACAATTATAGATCTCTTTTCTACTGGTAAGGCTGGTACAGAGGCAGCTGTTATTGGTTGTTATGCTGTGTCAGTATCCAGTTTGTCTCTGAATCTGTTACTGCTGCTGCTTTTGTTGCTATTGCCAGAGGGGCACAGTTGCCCCGCTGCAGTACATCACCAGCAAACTGAGTGCTTGCCCCACCCCTCCCAAATTAACAGATATGGCTGCATTTTGAGACAGAAGAAAAGACCACAGCTAGCCATGACCAGAGGACATCGCTGAAAACAGATACTGACTAAAAAGCTCTCCTTCCTAGACACAAGTCTCTCCGTCACAACCCATCTGCAAACGTCTGTGTGCAATTGTGTGCGTGGGCGTGCATGTGCACACGCACACACGCACTAAGGCCAGTGATGTCAGAGAGCTGAGTGGAAAGAATACACCAGACAGGGTGAGCAGTTAAGATGGAAAGAAAAAAATCAGCAACAGAAAAATAATGCAAGGACAGGAATGAGTCTCATTCAGTAATACCTTTCAGTGTGAATTATCCTAAGCCCCAGTCAAAAAACATAGGTTGGCAGAATGGATCAAAACAAAAATCCCAGTAGTGATGTGTTATATAAAAGAAACATATTTAACCAAAAAAAGAAATTCTCAAACTAAAGTTTATCAAAGGATGAAAAATATTTCAGAAATGGAAACCTAAAAACAAGCAGGAGTAGCTATCCTATTTTCAAAGAAAGTAGACTTCAAGGCAAATAAGCCCTAATACAACTGTATTAGGAGACCTCAATACCCCACTGTCACAAAAAGCCAGATCAACTAGACAAAAAATCAATAGCTAGATACAAAGTAAACACTCAAAAATCAATAGCCTTGCAGTACACAAATAACAAACTCACTGAGAGAGAAATCAGACCTTGGAAACAACCTAAATGCTCAATGCCTGTGGAAAGGATAAAAAAGATGTGATATTTTATACAACGGAGTACTACTCAGCCATAAAGAAGGATAAACTGGAGACTTTTATAGGTAAATGGATGTAACTAGAGACCATACTCATTTGTGAAATAAATAAGACACACATATGCAAACATCATATTGTCTCACTAGTGTTAGAAGCTGAATGTAACAACTTATGTATATGTGTATGTATATGGGTATAAAAATAGTTAAGATAGTTATAGTACTGATTTCTCTGAGTTCAATGAAGAGAAAGATTTGCGCTGTTATTGTTTGGAAAATAGTAAGCGGATGTGCTCTGGGTGAATGATTTGGGGATGACAATGCGCAATGTATGTACCATTGTTGCCCCTTGACTATGTGTTTTTAAATTTTGTTTTAGTTTTTTTCTTTTCTTTTTTTCTTGAAATAGAATGAATTTGAAAAAAAACTACATTGGATAAAAAATGATCAGATAGACATCAACAAAATCACACACAAAAACACAAGTAAACATCAGAGTTGAATCATACTTTCAAAGAAATGACCTTAATAGGTATCTATAATAGTTATATATAATGGTCTTTTTTTTTTTTTTTTTGTCTTTTTTCTTTTTATCGGTACCAGGGATCGAACTCACGACTGCCTGCTTGCAAGACAGGCACTTATGCCGCTGAGCTAAATCCCCAGCCCCCATATAATGGTCTTAATAGGTAGCTACCCAACAACAAAATATTCTCCTTAGCAGCACATAGAAATTTCTCCAAAATAGACCAATACCAGCCCATAACGCATGTTTAAGTAAACACAAAAGTATCAAAATTATCCCATGTATGTTAGCAGATCATAATGCA